TCTGCCTCAGTTTCCTCAACTGTAAAATGGGGATCATAATAGCACCTACCTCCCAGGGTTGCTGTGAGGTTCAAATGGAGATCCTCCAGGGTTGTAAAACACTTAGCACAGTACCCAGCACATACTAGGCTCTTAATAAATGCTTGTATTTTTTTCCTCCCTTGTCCCCATCCTTGGAGGTTTTTGAAAAGATTCATGTTCAGATACAGATTGGACCAGATTCTCTCTGAGGGTCTGGCCCGTGCTCTGAGATTCTGTGAGTGAATAGGGGTAACAGGAACAGAGAGAGATTACAGCAAGGATCCCCTTGATCCCTTCTTTCTCTGGCATCCAGCTTGTGCTCCAGCCACCGTCTCTCTCATTGGTCCCTCACCAACAGGCAGTTTGAGAATTTACCCTCTTGCCCCATCAGAAAAAGGGGAGAGCTGTCTTAGTCCTTGGGGGCAGCTAGACTGAGCTGGGCGGAAAACCTGCCTGTTAGCCCTGGTCACCTGCACCCTCCCAGGATCCCTTTCTTTCCAGGAAGAAGCCCTTTAGTGGCTGTTTTGATACAAGAAAAGTGCCCCCCCATGTTTGGCCTCCAGGTGCCTTGTGCTTCCCTCCCTTTCAGTCTCTCCTTGGCTTGCCTTTGATGCTGCAGCAAGCCAGCATCTCACTCATTCCCTCCATCCCTGTGCCCTTCTCCTGTCCCCTCCCTCCTTTCTAGCTCAATCTACTTTTGTCTTGGTCTCTCTCCATCTTTCCTTTTCCTCCTCAGTTCTCTTTCCTCTCTCAATCTTTCCTTTCTCTTCTTTTTCTTTCCCAAGCTTCATGCTGCAGGCATGGGCTGGATTCAAGTTCCCTGAAGCATTGAGAGGGTGTGTGTGTGTGTGTGTGTGTGTATGTGTGAGGGGTGGGTGGTGATGAGGAGGGAAAGAGGAGAGAGGGGAAAAGAAAGAAGGGAGGAGGGGGCAGGAAAGAGGCAGGAGATGGAAAGAAGATGGGAAGAGAGGAGGAAGAGAAAAGGAGGGGAAAAGGGAAAGGAGGAGGAAGGGGAAGAAGGAGTGAGGGGGAAAAAGAGAGAAAGTAGGAGGGGAAAGAGGGAGAGGAGAAGAGAGGAAAAGGGAAAAAAAGAGGAAGGGGAAGAAGGGGAAAAAGAGAGAAAGGAGGAAGGGAAAGAGGGAGAGGAGAAGAGAGGAAAAGGGAAAAAAAGAGGAAGGGGAAGAAGGGGAAAAAGAGAGAAAGGAGGAAGGGAAAGAGGGAGAGGAGAAGAGAGGAAAAGGGAAAAAAAGAGGAAGGGGAAGAAGGGGAAAAAGAGAGAAAGGAAGAGGGGAAAGAGGGAGAGGAGAGGAAAGAGAGAAGGGGAGGGAGGAGCAAAGCAGAAGAGAGAAGGGAAAGAAGAAATAAGAAGGGGGAGGGGGAGGGGGAGAGGAGACAGAGAGCAAGGCCTCCCATCCCCCCTCACACCCACCTCTCCTTGCTTCCTTGCTTCCAAGGGCTATGAAGGCTAGGGCCGAAAATGAGTCATAGTAGGGGCAGGGTCTGGCCAGGTGGCACAGACACACACAGGGCACTTTGCCCATATCAGGCAGCCAGATGCCACAGGAATCAGATTAGAAGCACTGATTGTCAGAGCTGGAAGGGCCTTTAGAGATCATCTCCTGCAACCCCACAGAGGAGGAAACTGAGGACCGGGAAGGGAAGAGAGCTGCCTAAGGTCACAAAGACAACAAGCTTCATGACAGAGCTGGGATCAGAACCCAGGTCTCC